TAAAGAAGGAGAAGTGTAAGATTGTTCCTCTTCAGACATCAATAATTCATGTTTGACCTTTTCTAAAGTAAGCGGCTTAATGACACGATATATAATTTGTATGGTTACTTCGTAACCTGGTTTAAGACTTTTTATCAACGTTCTAGCTTCTTGAGATGTATCCATGTCACCACCGTACTTCTTAAATTCGCGAAGTATGGATGAGAATTTGTCGATATGAACTTTCAAGGAATCAGACCGAAGTTGAGACATGGAGTGAAGAGCATTCTCGATATGCTTGAGCTTAGCCTCAGAGATGCTGGCGTGATAAGAGTTTAAATGTGTCCAAAGTAGGAAAGGATCGTAATTGATAGTCATGATCTTAGTGACTGGGTCTCTGACTGTTAACTCGTCTCGAGCTCTTTCGCCGTTGATGCCATCGCACTTGCTTGAAATCCAAGTAGTAAGGATGAATCTAATCTTCTTATGTTTCTCCTCGGTTAACGTAGTATCTTTAAAATCCTTTAGATCCAGATAAGATTCGTATCCAAGGGATTCAATAGCTTTGTGAATCAACAAATTCCAGTGGTTGAAATTTTCATCAGTAAGTTCGTTTTTTATGACAAACTTGCTAAGAGCATTGGTAGTACGTTGTATGAAGAGTTGTAGAGGTGACAAAGCCTCAACAGAAGAGTGATTGGTTGACATAGCAGCAGAAAGAGATTTAGAAGGCGAGAAAAGTGTTTTAGGGGATAACAAGAGAGGTTTTAAACCAGTCGATTTTCTAACGGTGTCTGTTGATTTGTACGATCCTTCTGATCCGGAAGAAACTGATTCGGTGTCTGTAGGAGTATCAGGGTCTTTGTCGTTGGGTTGCATACAAGTTGTAGAAGTAGTTGATCGTCGGAGATTTGAGTAGTGTTGAATAAATTCAAGACTCTTGCTACCATGAGAAAGAACGAACTCGAGTTCGAAAGCAAGCTTTAAAGCTTCAAGGCTTTTGTCGGTTTGAATAAAGAACACCTGGGGTATCAGGTGCAGTGTAAGTAAAACACGGCAACAAGCCACGAGCTAGAAAGCTACGAATAATCAACACACCTGGGGTATCAGGTGCAGTGTAAGTAAAACACGGCAACAAGCCACGAGCTAGAAAGCTACAAATAATCAACACACCTGTGCACAGTGCAACAGGACAGATTCAAAAGAGAATCGAGCGGAAACAGTTATAAGTAAGAGATAATAAAATTTCTTTCCGATGATTTGATTACTAACCTGGGGTATCAGGTGCAGTGTAAGTAAAACACGGCAACAAGCCACGAGCTAGAAAGCTACGAATAATCAACACACCTGACACACACAGAAATCAGTAAGTAGATAGAGAAAAACAGAAAATAGAGAAATCAGAACAAACCTGTGCACAGTGCAACAGGACAGATTCAAAAGAGAATCGAGCGGAAACAGTTATAAGTAAGAGATAATAACTAGTGGGCACAGTAAGCAGTTAGTTTGTTAATCTGAGCTAGATGATAGTGTACGAAGAAACACTTACAATTTCTTTCCGATGAGGAAAGAAATTGAGCGAAACAAGTCTTTAGATATATATATAATGAACACACACATAAGAGATCATAAACGTAATAGTCGCAGGTCACAAGCGACCTATTCCCAAAAAGAAAAGAAAAGCACACCGGACTCAGACCATGACCACCAATCATTACCAATCATCACTACATTCGTAAGTAAATTTCCACTGAATTCTCTTCAACTTGAAATCAAATGACCTCGAGCTGAAGTCCTTGACATCTAAACCTCCTGAATGAAAACAGACGTAACACATAACGTACATAATACATAATACCTAACAACGTGGTATAGTGAATACCACGACAAGTGATTATTTCTTTTAGTGAACTTGTGATCCTAATTCAATGAGGTGTTTGTCAGCCCTGAGCCCTGTGTACAGGACCATGGGCTAACAAACACACATGTAAATATAGTGAACTTGTACAAAAGCATAGTGATCACACCTCATGGCTCAGTATTAAAAGTCACTTAAATAAAAAGAGTTACTATGACCTAACTAGTAATATTAAACCTAACCCAAACCTGACTCAAAAGAGAAGCAAACCTAAGCACCAACCACAAGTTGATGCCAAGATCTGGAATATATATACTCCTCTTCTTCCCACTTAGGGTATACAAAGTTGTTCTGGCAATTTCCAGAAGGTTATTTCCAGAACGCCAGAACCCTTCTGGCAGCGTCCTGGCGTTCTGGAAAACACAACAACTCATCATGCCACCACCCCACCTCGAGCCCACCGAAGAAGATCAAGTTATCACAACATCGACTTTAGGAATTTACCCATCTGCACTTCAGGCCTTCCGGTCGACTTTCAAATTGAACTCCAGATCACCAAACTTCTGTATGCAACCCATTCCAGATATCAAGATCGGCTTTGAATCACGCTCGTTCTAAACTCTTAAATGCTCATTCGCCGTGAATCGATCGATACACCAAGACAAAGCTCTCACTGCAATTCAATTGATACACAGGGGTGCTTTTATGCTTATGATTTTCATCCATTTTCTCTAGGTTTTCAAGCACAACAGTCGATCTAAGCGGATTCATTTCATAATCGTATTGAGAATAGTCTCAATTTGTACTTTTTGTCAAGTTTCAACATTCTTCAAGTCTCACTTTGTACTCGTTGTTGAGTTTCAAAGGTTTCTCAAAAATAATCAAGATGTGTCATCAACTCGATTATTGTTGTCTTACCTATATCGTTGTGTCTCAAACTTTTCCAAATGAAAAAGAATGTTATCTTGATTTCTTTTGTTCTTTTGAAATCGATCGCCAGTCTGTGTTTGTTTCTAATGAGCGAACAAATTCAGAGCTTGTTTCCATGAAAGTCTGATAGAAAAATCTGACTATGCAAATGGATTTTTAGATATACACCCGGCAGGAGTCTCTTTGAGAGATGCATGTTTTGTTTTTTCATTCATCTCATCAAAAAGGAACAAGACCTCCTTCAAACCAAAATGTATTTCAAGTGTATATATCTTACAGAATCTTTTGAGTTCGATCTTAAGCCTAAATTGGTGGAGACATTAAAGTGATTATAGTCGGTTTTTAGAGCTATTGCGGGAGGAATGGCATGTAGAGCAGAATTGAGATGTGAGAACGGAAGTGCTGAGATGAGAGAGAGACAAGATTTGGTTTCTGAGGGGATGAGGGGAGTGCCAGCGGTAGTGTACTCAGGCTTCTGGAATTCTGGAGTGTGGGGCATTCAAAGTTGCAGAACACCAGAACGCCAGAACACACCAAAAACAAAACTTCTGGCGTTCTGGAAAAAGCCTTCTGGAAATTTCCAGAACAACTTTGTATACCCTAACTCTAGAAGAAGGAATAACCACATCATCACACAACTATTCATCACATCTTACTTAAAACCAGTGCCCATTCCCTTCAAATCTTTCTATCCAGATTTCATGTATCTCACTCTGAGTTTTCTCAAGACGGTGTCAAAAAATTTGGGGATTAAAATTTGGTGACTGTGTCTTTGAAACAAAACTTACCAAGGACCTAAATAATGCATTCTCCTTCCTGCAAGAGGATCAATAATTGATTAAGCTTGACCAAGACCCTCTTCCAATGCAACCATTTCCGCTCTCAAAGATGTTCTTGGGGCTTATACCTGGACTTTGGCCTGAGACCAGCAGGAATGTTAAGCAATTTTGCTAGCAATCCTTTTTTGAGGGCTCTCAACATTGTAAAAGCTTGCAATAAATTCATCAGGGCTTCTTATAAGCCTTTTGTGCTAATTTCAGCGCCACTTTACTTGAGTGAAGTGATAAATCTGAGCTGTTGAGTTCTTGTAAATCTGAGTCATTATTAGCATGCGGGCCTACATGCATGCTGAACCCTTTGACATCACTGGATATTGGAATGCAATTTCCTCACAATCTACGAGTGGTGATGCGGTAAATATCAGAGGAAGAGCAGCAGAACAGCTTAAAGAATCCATTACAAGTTTCTACAACATTTAGAGCCCTCAAAAAGGGGTTTCAAGCAAAGATGCTTGAAATTCCTGCTGGTCTCAGGCTAAGGTCAGGGTATGTATAAGGTCTAAGCCGCTCTTCAAGAGCGGACGTTGCCGCATCGGAGGAGGGGCTTATTTAAGCTTAATAATTGATCAATGGACTTCCTTCAAAAACCAAAGTTATTCATCCTGATGTTCTGAAGATTTTGTGCTCCTCAGGAATTGTGTATTGTACCAACTACAGAAGATGCAAGACTATAGAACAAGAAAGCCCTACAAGATATTGGGACTTGTGACAGGATCTGGAGCGAATTTCTGGAGGTTGGGCTGTAGTGTAATGAGCAGACCCCATTTCAAAGCCAATTGTGAAGCGAAAAACGATTCTTGTACCAGAGGCTGTTGTATGCATTGACCAAGCTTGGCTGAATCAAATCCTTAGTGGGACCCGGAGAAGCCAGCGCTATGGCTTCTTGCTAATCACGAAGCTTGACCTACATTCAGCTTTGAGTATAGCTTCGGTTTGTATGCATCGAGCTTGCTTGGTGTTCGGAAGACAAGTGACCGAATACGAGACCGAGTGTCCCATAGTCTCTAAGGGGATCATTTACCTGAAGTTGAGAGAAGTCCAGGTCAGAAACCGAGAATTCGACAATGAAGATCATTGGAAGATCATTGGAAGATCAATCGGCATTGACACCGGTGTACACTTGGTCAATGCCCGGTAGCTCAAGAAGCCTCTGTTCTAGGGATACCGGCGTACCCAGGTAGCTGATTGACGCCTGGCAGCTAAAAATAGATATGCCTTTTTCTTGAATTCAAAGGCACCTTACTCTTTTCGTCTATAAAAGAGGACTCAAGTGTTCATATATTTCCCTATACTCGTCCGTCAGTTGCATGTTCCCTGTCTAACACCTTAGAGCTAAACTTCAATAATTAACCAATTACCTGAGGATTTGCTGGCATTCCTTTAACTCGCACAATATGACTACTACACTTAGATATTTATCGCCACAGTCAAATCGCACTACTCTCTTCTTCAGACACAAAGTTTTTATCGTCTTTTTGGCTTTGATCTGTCTCTTGGAGACGTGTTCAGCAGGAACAAGTGATTCAGCCCTAACGGAAGATTGTGGTTTCACGCCTGCGACAGACGGGGTCAATGGAGAGATCGGCAATCTGATGGATGAAGTCAGCCGAATGACCGGTCATGTCATAGATCTCCAAAGACCAGGTAACACCGCCGATTATTACAAAATGGCTGCAATCAGAGGTATCTGCTCTGAGAACAAACAGAATGCTAGCCGAAAAATCTTATCGGATAAGGGAAAAGCCCAAAAGGATCTGGATGCCATCAATAAGCTCATTGACCAAATCATGTAAGTCTTTGTCAAATAACATGTCCATCTTTTGTCTCTGAATGGATGCTCTGGTGTGAATCTATAAGATGGCTCACCCTGAGAGACACTGAAGAAGCCAAACTGACGGAAATATTCTGATTGCCTCCTCACAGAAAGTTATTGCGGGATTTCATCAAACTGCCTACTGCAAAGCAAACACCTGAAAAATCTGAAGCTCTAGCTGCCAAAATCACAAAGATTCGCGGCAAGGCTAAACCTCGTAAGAGCCTTCTCTTCATCTACATCTTGTTGTCACCGAAACTAGTTTATTTAACTGATTTGGTGATAATCCTCTCTCCACTGTGGTCTTCTTTGAATAATAAAGACAATGTCAACATAGTCCAAGCCGCTAAGAAAGCCAAGAATAGTAGACTACGACACCGAAGGGGAGAGCCACTTATGTGAAAAGGATGTAAAGGGGTTGTCACCATCTGTCACGAATGGCTTGAGGATCAAGTCAGGGGACACCCTGAAGATATGTGGCCTACAAAAAGTTCTAAGCACTTCTCGAAGATTAGTAATGATCTCATATACAAATTACTCAACCGAATAATATACCAGTCTTTAAGTATCCAATTATGTACCATCTGCGGCTATCACCCTCTTGGTCTTGTTTTCTTTTTATGGATTTCTTTCATTAATTTTAGAGGCTCAATTTGTGTTGCCTATGAGGCTTGATATTTGTACTTCAATTTCATCATGATTTTCTATTTGGGGTTTCTTCTATATATCACTATTATCAGTATATAGTAATGCAGCACGGACTTCAAACCCATTCAACGAGGTACAAACATTAATGGAAGTACATCGTATCAGTGTGGATACAATGGTCTCCACCCAATGCACAAATCCGAGGTTGTCCTTGCAGATTGCTAAATATTAACAGTATCATCATTCATATTTCATAATGGTTTTCGCCTTTCAAGATCACCAATTCCCGACGAGTGTGGATATCAATGAGAAAAGTGCAAAAAACTACATCACAACACTTGATCCTTGCAATGTTCACGTCAGGTTTCAACAATTGGTCAGACTCATAAGCCCCTCTGGGAGGGCGCGGACGTGGCCGTGCGGCGCCGGGATCCACCTGTGTGTGTTACAGTCAACATAGGTGCCTGCACCTGCCTGCACTCTTAAAATTGAATGTGCAGGAGAAGTCTGTTTTGACTGCCCGACCCCGTTCTTGCTCATACAGTCTAACCCGCGCTAATGCATAATTTGGGGAGACTCACTTTCCTATGCAATTAGACGGGTTATGCTTTTTGACCTACACCCCCAAAATGCATAAAAATATGCATTTAGATTTTGGGGTGTATTGCATAGAATTATGCATTAGAGCATCCGCACTCGTGCGGTAAGTCGGGTGCGGTAAGGTTAAATTTACCGCAAACGCGGGGTCTTTTCCACACCGGTGAAAAATTAGCCCCGCGGTAGTTAATTTTCGGTCATTTTGCGTTAGCGAATCGGTAAATTTACCAATTGGCTAACGCATGCGGTATCACACATCACGACTTGTTCCCGGCAACTCGACTCCAAAAACAAAACTCAACCAGACCTCCAACACCAAAGTCAACAACCAATATCTCCTTTTCACCACTCACACACGATGAATTCCAAGCCTTACAGTTGCATGAATCAACTCGAGAACGTTCGACACCGATCGATGTCTTCAATTGAAATAAGTCAATCAACCATCTTGAACTCGACTCCAAACCATTCAGATGAAAATGAAAGATGTCTAGATTCATATAGCTATGTAGAGGTCAATATTTAAGAAAATCAACATTAAAAGACCAATCATTGGAGGACTTTTAGGATCAAGTGATACAAATTAAAAATTGAAGTTTGGATTTTTATTTCCTAGTTTTAAATCTTTAAATCTTTTACAAGATCATTATGTGTATTCAGACTCATTAAAAGCTTTCTCGATGTAGTAAAGCCTTTGTTTTTTAATTGGAATTCATGTATTAAGATCTGAACAAACTCATGTTAAATTTGTAATTTTAAATTAAGATCTATCGATCGAGTAGATGAACAGGATGATATCGGGTCTTCATGTGTAGATGGAGTATTAGTATCTTAGTGCAAAGAAGAGAACAGTGCCTCTATCACATGAAAACTGGCCATGAAAGCAGGTGATGTGTACTCAAAAAATTAAAACTTTACCTTACTGCACGACCGGTGCGGAGTACATGCACTATCTGTAAAGTTATAAAAGTTACAGCGCTGCTAATGCAAACGAGTGCGAAATTTGGTTGAGTTAAGTAACTTTTTACTTAATGTTGTGTTTGTTACCGCACGTGACCAAATTAACAACCGCAAACGAGTGTGGATGCTCTTAGTACGGTTATTGTATTACCCCACCCATATGGGACAAGAGAGGGTGAAGGTGGGAAAACTTCAGTAAGAAAGTGTTTAATTTTGAGGACATTTGTTGTCTATTTAGTACGATATGTACAGAAAGAAACAAAAACAATTGTTTTCAAGAACATGCTTTATCAAGTACAATGTGTTACAAAAAACAGTCAACAAACAATAACTTTTGAGGACTTGTGCTTATTTGGTACGACATGTACAAAAAGAAAGAAATTGAAGTATTTTTGAAGGCTATCGATAATCAAGTGTTAGATATAGTCACACGTTGGAAGAAATCAGTTATTGCCACTTGTTTCTTGTTACCAAAAAACAGCTCGGACTCAAGCATCTCGGCATACTTCTGCAAAGAGTTGTCCAATTTGAGACCAGAAGCTGTACCAGTGCCCTCTATGTGAGCTAATTCCTTGTTTTCAGTAGCAGACATGATGAAAAAAGATGCAAATTGATCTAAGGGAGCCGAAGATCGTGTGAGGTGGGTGATATCACTTTGCTGATCATTCCAAAGCACAACTGCTGTTGCTTTTTGTCAGTATCACCACCACATCACTGGGTTTGACCTATGCAATACCGCTTCCAAGATATAATTTTTTTTGCTTTGACCCTATGCATCATGCAATATGCAATTAAAATCTTGTTTTGGCCCGCACCAGCGTGGTGGAGACCAAAACCTATGCATTTTGGCTGGATATGCATATGCGCGGGTATACAACAGCGCGGGTTAGACTGTAGTTGTCCAGCAGGCTCCAGCCCAATGCCATTACATAATCACTTTCCTCAGCCACTGATCATATCAACACCAGCGCTGTCATCGAAATACAATAAAGCCCATCAACTGTCATGGAAGGTTCTGTCTTCTCGCTTCTCGCTTTTCCAACAGATCGACCCAAAGGAGCATTCGAACCTGTCCATCCTGACCGCCCAAAGCTCTTATTCATGGGACCTAGAAGGTACATCGATCTCTTCAAGATGGCTATTCTCTTCATTCTGGTGGTTGAACCAATTGTAAAGAAGGCTTATCGATAGTTTCTTCTCTCGATAACGATCTTTGTTTTTTTCGCTTAAGCTCAGTGGTGGCAAATCGTCTATACGCGAGGTCGTATTCCACAAGGTCTGTCCTATAAATTGCGTGCCAATCTTGAATGTGGACTTTTGGATGTTGATCGGATGTTGATGACGGCTTCTGTTTACCCATTCACTAAATCTAGCTTCAACCTGATCAGACCCTCCATCTTGAGACCACCCGAAGAATCACTCAAGACGACATAAAGTCTGTCACGTTTCTTTTACTCTTCATTTCTTCAGAGTTCCGGATTTGAACTCACAAATTGTCAAGCTTGCGATCTTTCACCTTTTCTTCTCAAGCTCATTTATAGATTTCGAAATTTGGGATCTTCCTGGTCCTCTGGAGTCTGATGAATTCGCAATGCCATTTGCACAAGTGGGTGCGGTGATCTTTGTAATCGATGCCCAAGTGTGTATCATGTCCCTTCGTCAATCCGCACTTCCACGCTCCATACACCCTAAGGAAGAATCATTCACTGACACACTGCTTTGCATCTTTGGATCAAACCTTCAGTCAAGCTATCTGACTATTATCCCACAACTTGCCATGACCTTGATCAAAGCATACGAAATCAATCCCTCCTTACACTTCGAGATCTTTATGCACAAAATCGATGCTGTCACTCAGGATTATCGTAACGGTAAATGTTTGTTCCTTCGCATAGCCCCGGACCACACGTCTCTCAACTATGGCTTTGACAACCTAGATTTGAACTTATATCCTCCTTTGTCCTGGTTGCCTGTACCATATTGGGTTCATATCGTACCTGTTTTGTGCCCACCATCATACACATCGAATAAACATCAAAGAAATTATCGAGCAATTTAAGGACCGTCTAACGGATGAACTTTCGGATCGAGAGCTTTCTATTTACGCTACCACTGCTATCGCCATTGAACTCGGTCAGCGGATTACCTACAAACTTACCACCGTCTTCGATTACTCGATATATGATGCTCTTAGCCGGGTAATTATGAAGATCATCCCTCAACAGGCGGCCCTTGAACAGCTCATGAATGTTCTTGCCCAACAAAGTGGAGTCGAAAATTGCATCCTAGTACGCCAGCTGGCATCTTAAAATCGCTGAGATGTCACAACTACATCTCTAACGTTGCTAATGACTGCATTTGCGCCCTTCATTTTAAGTTTGACACTTGGACAAAGCTTTACATTGCAACTGATTCCTCACCAACGGAAAAACCTTTGCTAGAAATGTGTTCAGATTTCATGGACATCTTCACCGACCTTTCAGAGCTATATGGTGTTCCTCATCAAGTCTCGCCTGTCACTAGACCTGTCGTTCCGGCTTCCAGTAATGGAGGGCGAAGGGCAGTCACCCAACCCTCTGGCTCAAGAAGTCCTCAAAAGCACCGTAGTACTAGTCGAGGTCACGGTCGAGATTCGAGCCCAAGAACCAGATCAAGAGCTTCGATCACGACTCCTGTCCTCGACCACACCCCGTTATCTCAATCTGGTGAGCTGAAGACTGAAGAACAAGAATCAAAATCCAGCACTAGAGGTAGAAAGATGATAACCAGTCATGTCAAGCTGGACACGAGTTTTGGTGGACATAGGGAAGTTGGAAATCAAGAGATAGTAGATCAACCAGGTCGAGTGGTATCATATTATGAAATCAATCAGTATCTCACTTTGGTTTGTATTGCTCATGAAGATGTCATGCGTACTCAGGGTAGCTTGATTGAATACAAGTGAGTGAATAAGAAAATCAGATCTGGGCTGCTTCCTGATTGATGTCTGACATTGGTATATTCCTTTTTTTCGCGTCACACAGCGTTTCAAGAGTTCGGGATAGTATAACCAAAATCTTTGCCATCACAAATGCTTCTGCCCTTAGAAGGGCGTCTCTTGCTGCCTCTAATTGAATCTCCTTTCCCTACTCTTAGTTCCACTTTGTGGTGTAATAGATCTTATTCCGTACGTTGTATTATAACCGATATATTCCTTACGCCAACATACATATTTGTTTGCAAAGGACCTCATCAGTTCTTCTGTACGTTGCCACTAGTTTGTTCAAGTGGCCGTTTCTTCAGAGATTATTGACGTTCTCACTACATGACATCAGTCTGAGTTTCTAAATTCTGAAGAGCGGATACAAGTCATTTTAGCTGACTGCGGCAGCCGTATGTGGCTTTGACGGGAGTCTTCGTCTTCCTCTGGAAAGGTTTAGACGCTTCACCCCATCCCTAGCTTGCAACTTTTTGGGAACACCTTCAAACTCTCATCCTGAGCCCAGGCAACCAGTTGCCCATGTCTACTACTCCTCACCAACATCAACTGTTGAGTATATTTGTCACCCAACTCCAAACTTCTGGGGCTATATTCAGAGATCCCCACAAAGTCAGTAAGTACATAGTAGGCAGATCGACAAATTCCGAAATATGGAGTATTCGCGATTTTGATCCATGATCAAACTTCTTTTGGATTACCGCCCATCGTCGTTTCAATCAATTCACAAACAAACCTGACTCCATTTCTAGCATCCCAGATTTTGCATATCTACATTTTCACTCGAGTAAGGAAAAAGCAAACGTTACACCTACTTTGACCAACTCCCAATTGTAATCATAAAAGCTCAAAACCCCATTTTCAAAACATCTTCAAAGAGCAAGAGCCTTCTTAACCATCTCCACCGCACCTTGTCTTGTTTTGTTTCCACCGATAAATCCAGCCGCATGTACAAACACACAATCTGGTATACCTGTCAGTTGACTTAAGGCTTCATCTCTTATTCCTCTCCAAGCTTCTGGTAAAGCTTTACGTGATTCGAATCCATCTGGTACTTTTGGAATTGCCTGAACTCTCCAACCTCCTGATTCATCAGCATATAATACATAGAGTGGTAACACCTTTTCACCCGTAGACGAAGCTTCTAAAGTAGCTTCAAGTGTATGAAGATGTCCCTGGGAAACATTCAAAGCACCGCAAGCCTTATCAGTCTTTGGTGTTCTGGTATGGAACTGAGGATATATTGTAGATTTATTACAAACCTTCCATGGACAAAATTGTTCAAAAACCAGCACACGACCTTGTGGATCTTGAACATCATTAGTAAACCGATCTTTAAGAGCCTCGACTACTAAATCTCGACCTGGTAACCAAGATTTAGCGTAATAATCCAGACGTTCAAAGAATTCGGAACCGGCCAATTTGGAGGCTACTTCAAACTTGGCCTATAATTATCTCAGACAATCAAAGGATTCAATAAGCAAAGTCAAAATACCTGATCTTTGCGGTAGATACTGACGTCTAATATATCCGAATTACTGGGTTCGTTCCAATCTGGATTCAACTAAAACCGAAGAAAATGGTATGGATCAACTAGCTAATTCGATGAATGTTTCTTGATTCCAATATTAGAAATTTACTAACCCGAGAGATCCGATCACTCAAGCTTGTACTACTCCTATATTTCTTTCGAACTTCAACTTCAGCAGGTTTACCATCCGGATTAACAGCTTCGTACTGATTGATTCCCTACAATTTGGATGGTTTTCATTAGATATACATTAGAATTCCAATCGATTAGATCTCTTCATATGTATGAAAGGTTTTAAAACTAACATTATCAATCCCATCAATAGCTTCTACAAAATCATCATACATTTTAGCCATCAAGATCGGTAATGATCCGTCATCTGATTTTAACTTTAAATAAGTAGCAATGATTTGTTTTCCAAAGTGTCTAAACACACACACACACACACACATCTATCAATCCTATGTAAGGTCAAGTGAAAACTTCAAAGTCAAATTCAAAAATTTTAGAAAACTTACTTGTAAATCAATCCAGCAGAAGACAGTTTAGTAAGATGAGAACTCGAATATGTTTCATTAAAACCACGTTGATGATGATCATATCGATGTGAATCAGGTTTATATTCTCCTCCCACATCTACCACAATATCACAAGTTTCTAAAACTTTTGGATCTCTTGTACGAACCAAACCTAAAAGAAGAAAGGAGTGATCCAATCCAAAAAAAAAACCAAACCGGATTTTTCAGTCAACCGTTTTTTCAACAATATCCGTTTGATTAAGATTTGGTGAAACTTACGTGATGATTTATATTCTTCTAAACTTCTTAAAAGGTTCACGGCTAATGCTTCATCAGCATGAAAAGTACCACTATGAGTTCCAATTAAGAGTCCTTCTACTCTTGCTTTCTTTGGTTCCGACATGATCAAACGTTTAAAAGTGGTTGAAGTTTTGGGGAGTTGAAAGATATGAGTTTTGAAAGTGAAATGTTTGAAGTACAAGTTGGCCAGAGTAAATTGACTTTCTGATATCTTTTTGAGGTGGATCGGTCGATGTCCGACTTGGCGATTGCGACGCGAGCTGGTTGTGATTTCTCAAACGCGAGACACAAGAACCCTCTACAAAGACATCAACATATTTTCACAAAGCCATAAACATATTCCCACTGTCCACAAGGCCAAGTCGTCATTTGCACTTTCAACTTTGTACACCCAGATCTCATGTTCAGCTTGTTGCTGTTTTCATCGACATCAGTCATGGAAATAAAAAATGGAACTTCCTTGGATAAAAATATCCAAGCTGGCGTCTGACTGTGAACAACAATACAGACAAAATCACAAAATCACAACTCTTACAAGCTATTGCGATTGCCAAACCCATTGTTCACCGGAATGGCACATGAAAATCGAAGCTCTTCTAGGAAGAAACCTGATTGGCAGATTACCAACTAGAATATGTTGCCAGGATGAATCTGCAATTCATGAAATCTAAAGAGTCTCTTGGGACTTGGAAGGATAAAGCCAAATGAAAAAGATATGAATTGACATTCTCACAATGTAGTACTGAAAGAGCATGGCAGATCAAAACCATCTTTACATGATTCACAGTGATGTATGTACAACAAGTTACTGATCTCAATCAATTTCAAGAAGTCCAACTCCTTGATCAACCAAAAAGATCTTTCACATTGTTACTAAGCAGAAAAGACAAAAAGATAACGAACGTTTGCAGGTATGTATATTGTATGTATGAATCATCAGGAAAAACAAACCGATCCTATGAAATCTTTTTTTTTATAAATCTTTCAAAGCTTCTACACCTAAATTACCATCTAAAGCGAATCTAATGATTTCTAAATTCCTTTGACGTTGTTCTTCAAATCGATCCATTCCATCAAATGGCTCACCATTCAATAACCATTCTTGTGATGCACTTAGTTTTTGTCTCATCGGTTTTCGTTCTTGACGTAATTTACAAATCCGATGCCAATTCGATTCATCTGGACCAAAGCCTCCAGCTGCATATACTTTTGCTGGAGGAACTGTTCGTCGACCGATTTTGTGTACCGTGCGGGTAATTGAGATGCACTAGTGTGAAAAAGTAAAAGAAGATTGATCAAGTGGAGAAGAAGTATGTATGTAAGATGTAGGGTTTGATAGTAAGAGGTTAGCGACGCGTAGATTTTAGAAATGTCCCCAAAAGAGGATACTAACGTTGAGAGTTCTAGTAGTTGACCCTTTTGGCGGGGCAGTGGTGAATTTGGAAAGCAGATAAACCTAAGTGTCAATGAACAAAGCAGATCAGCCATTCGTGTCTGTCAAAGTAACTTGAAGTATAAGAGAAACTCACCCATTTGTTGTCCCAACTGACGGGTCTCACTTCGACTTCGTAATCGGCAAGCATCTGTATGTGAGATATCAATACTTTGTCGTTAAAGAGAGCCACAAAAAAACATCAAAACACTTACTGGAATCTCCACGAGAAAAGCAAGGTGAGTCGAAGCAACGATCACTTTGATATATTCCATATCATTTCTCATCAAGATTCCGAGTTTGTTCACATGCCAATCACATCTAGCTTCATCCAAAGCAGCTGCATATGATGAATTTGACATATGCATCATAAAATCACCTACAAGAAATCATATTTAATCACAGGGGTTCATCATTAGCTTCAGAAAGTTCACATGTGAAACTGGATGTTTCTCAAGTAGATCGATCTCTTACATGCATTCCAAGTCGCGCAATGTTTTGTAACCGTTCTCACCTCAAAAGGATTCATACCAATCACACCTTGACTTCTAACAAATGCTTCATTATCTGAACCTAATCTCCATCTTCTACATTTAACTTTAAGAATCGGAAAGAGTGTAGCAACATGCCAATAAAATGGTACAGCCTGTAATTCCCAAAATAAACAAGATATTTAGTTCTGAAAGAATCAAATGACAAATTATCATTTGGTAGTTTTACGACTCACTCTCCAGTTTAGTATTGCAATCAAGATAGCTATCCATTTACAAAGTCTGATAACCAATTTCGACTTTTGGAGAGATTTGTTTCGTTGATTAAACCAATAAGATAGAACAGCGATAGCGATCGTACTTGGACGAGGACAAAGGCGAGTTTTTAGTGAGATCTCAGGTCTTGAAACGCGAGTGATTGGGGATGAGCTTGAAGGTGAATCTGTGATGTCTTTCATCTCGTCTGCCGGCTTTGATTCGAGTTGAACTTGAAGGATGCGACAAGGTATGTAACAGCGAATTTTCTTTTCAAGATAGCCTGGATGTAGCAGGTTGGGGTCTGGGCTGATCTCGGCAAGGGAGCAGAGTCAAATTATGTACTTATGTAATCGATTGAAGCTACCTGAAGCTGATTTAAGACGAGTGACGACCGTGGTAAAGAGGATTCAAGAGCACTTTACATAATATTTACATATCATCTCTTGAGTCTCAATTTGTATGTAACGGGTCACTCCAGCACGGTCCAGGGGTTTACAGTCGGTGCCGCTTCAACACATTGTACATTTTCCCATAGGGGCTGGCAATCCAAATTTATTTCAGCCCTTGCCTGGCCTTGAAGTTGCAATTCCATCCTTCATAGAGACTTGATGGTTTGATTCTATGCCACCTTGAAGCCTTTCTTTCATCACTTTTACCACTAAATTCAGGCAAGCTTCCTACTGAGTACTTGATAAGAGATGAATAGTAAGTAGACAGAGCCCAAATGAAAGAAGTGAACCAAATCTAAAGTTGAAGTTGTCTTCGGGGGGAATACTGATCATCTTGCCAGAATCAAATCTTCCTAGTGTTTCTGAATAAAACCTTTTATTTCTTCAGTAAGTGTGTTTTGTAAGACTAGAAAAAAAAGATATTATTTGTGTTTATTGAAAGAATTGGGGAGTCTTGATGGACTTGATGCAAAAAAAATCCACTGGATCAAGAAAGTGTCAAGTGAGAACTTGTGTTGATGAATCCACCTACAAAACTATCATGAGCTGAGATTTATGATTTCCTAAGGGAAGTGATATAAAGGTTGATATGATTTCTACTTTTGGCGCGGATCTAGTGAGAACAACGGATGAAGAGAATGTAATGACATCCCCCTGATGTGGGCATCGTTGATCATGGACGTCAGCGGTTTATAGAGGCGGCAATTCTCATTTTGATTTCACTCATGACTTGGCTCTTGTCACATCATAAAAGCATGAATATATCTTCAGAAGGGGAAGATATTCGCTTGGTCTTTCAGTTATGATCATCATCATTCACTCATTAAACATATAAAAAACGATGCAATAGAGATAAAGCTCACAAGTTGAAGAAAATTCACACGGAAGTATTAATTCTAGATAAGAAAGATGAAGATATCAAAAAAACCAGTTCTTTGATAAAGAGTGTAAGGAAAGATATTACTACAAGAAAAACGTCAATGAAGGTTTATGGAGTAGAAACCTCGTCGTGAAAGAAATTTGATAAAATTAAATCCGTTGTACAATTTGTCCTGAGCTCCACGTTCCTATTCAAGAGTCCTTCTATGACTTCGCGGCAATCTTTAGATACATATGAAGGAATGATCAATGGACCAGATATAATGTTTTCCTCGAGAGTCTTGCCATCACCTGAAAAAATAAATAAGAAAATAAGACAAAAAAATCAGTAAGTGAATCTACGGAAGATGAAGTATAGTGATAGAGAAAGATACTTACTTGCTTCAAAAGGTGGCTTTCCTACAACCAATTGGTAAAGAATAACCCCTAGGCCCCACCAATCTACAGAACCACCGTAAAACTCTTGTGTGAGCATTTCAGGAGCTTGTGCATAAGTAGTTCCACAGATACCAGAGGTCTTACCTTCAGATGAAGCTATCGTTGCAAGACCAAAGTCAGAAAGTCTCATTCGTGCATCAGATCCGATCACAACGTTGGCAAGTTTGATGTCACGATGGATTATTCTTCTGTCATGAAGGTATTCGAGTGCGCTACCGATGTCTAGTAAAATTAGTTTGGTCTCTTGTTCGGGGATTGTAGTATAACCATAGATCATGTCTTCAAGATCCCCACCAGGAGCAAATTCAAGAACGATTTGAGCTGTATGAGAACCAACATAGGATCTATAATGTTTGATGATAAAGTCGTGATCGATTTGCTTTAGTATTCCAATTTCTCGATGTATGGACCGGGTGTAGTCTCTTCCGTTTTGATTGATGTGAATGACTTTGATGGCACATAGAGAGTCATCAATGTTGCTCCTAGCTTTGTGAACCGAACCAAAGCCACCTGCACCAATCTGTTTTATGATTCGAAATTCATGTTTGACTGAGGTTTTTTCTTTGGTGATATTGAGAAGAGAAGCTGGAGGATTGGTGTTGTAATGCAAAGGACGCGTGGGATTGGGTAAAGAGTTGGTCAAGCGATTATAATTGGACATCATAAACTGGTGAAGGCTGGTTGGATAAAAGTGAATGCGTTTATGGATATAGAGAACTGGTGAGGAAAACTGTTATGATATGAAGTGTAGTCGAGAAGTTGTGGTATGTGGATATGGAAGCTTGGAGTGAGTTGAGACCGGCCAATGGATTTATATACCATGATTGATGCTGATCCTGATCAGCAAGGTATCAATCAGGATGCGAATTATGCATTTTTAGAAATGTGAACAAGTTAGAATTTTTACGGATTCATGTATCGCGGCTGATTGCGATAATGATGCCGAAAAATAATTGTGTCATGAAATATGTTGGCTGAGCCATACAATGCAACCAAAAGCACAAACCTTAAAGTTTTCGTCATGGTTGTAGTGCATTTCCACTTCCTTGAAGGGGATTAGGGATGTTGGGCACTTGGCTTATGGTCGTCCGTTTTTTGAAAAACGTGATATATGGAGCATAAATTGACAATTGCGCAACTCGAGCCAAGAGCCGAAAATGGGTGGAAGGGGTTCCGATCTTCCGTTGTGCCCCAGTAGTATACATCACATTCTGCTAAGTCAACCGCCTCAAAATAACTTGATAAGGAGAAAATATTCCAGCACTTTTCATGATGCTTTTGGTGCAAAAAGTGTACAAGATCCGACATGGCCATTAGCATTTTGCTCGAGTATCCAATTGATGTTCTACAAAATACTTCCAGAGATATCTCATGTCTGGCTCATCTAAATCCAAAGCGTTTGTCGGGTTTTAAAATCCTCTGGTGATCATCTGGTGTATATACTTGAAAGGTGGTCGCTGCTATAAAACTGGATCCATAGTAGCAAAAGCAATAAAGACTGATAACATAATCGTTTTACCAATCACATAACTGTAAGGCGGAAGCTCATCCCGCTGTCAAGTATAGATGAGAAAAGTAGAGTAAGCGATCACGCCTGGTAATTTTCAACAACAGGTGAGGAAAAATGTAAACCAGTTAAAAAATCTGGAACAGAAAAGAGAAAAGTCGCACTGAAGTGGGCTGAAATGGACATTTGAAAAGCGCCATCACAGTTGAGCTCTAGGTTGGGTTAGAAATTTACACGCTCATCCTCTCCTGGTGCCGCTCTGTTGACTCCACCGTGTGATAAAGGCCTTGTATCAGAAAAGAGAATTCTACTGGGTTCAGAGTCGCGTCTTGGTCAGCTGGTGGCTTGTGCTCCAAAAAACACCTCGATGAACGCAGACGCAGAGATTTCCAAGTGATGAAGCTGATAATTTCGGGTCGCTTTACACCTAGTAAGTAATGACCAAATGATCATTTAGAAAAAATTGTCAGCATGTCACCCTATTCTCAGATAGAGATACAAACAGTGATAAGAGGCGAGCTGATATTTGCTACTCAAAGAGATATGGAGCAACGCAAGTGGGCAAACAGGAAATCTGGTGAAATATTAACAAGAAAATTGAACTATTGGAAGTGCAAAGTAGCTCAGAGACGTGTCAAGATATGTTAATTATCTAATAGATACCGGGCATTTACAAAGCACTTTCATATTGAATCATCGAGCTTTTCCATATTGTTCAAAATTGCTGTCTAGACAGTGTTTGAAAAACCTGTGATCGATCGCAGATGGAATTCGATGCGATGTTGAAAGTTTTACATAGCCTTGATGCATTTGGTCCTTCTTGAACCTATCACACGACAATGAGCTTCATGTTTGATCACCACGACCAGTGTCGTTCAAGCAATACGATTCATTCACGCTGCTGAAAATTATCATAGCTTTTTATCCCCTGTTACTTTCCGGAAAATCTTGATATACAGTCACCTACATCTGAAGGACTTGTGTGCGCAAAACATTCGAACTTCGCAAGTTTGGTAGTCGAAAAAATGAGGTAATAAGTTAAAAATCATCCCATCGACCGTCCACTGCAGGTGGGTATGTATGACATGGCAAGTGTTTCTCAAAGCCGGTGAAATTTAAGAATGCTCGATAAAAGTGGTCGGTCAATATAACGAAGTCCAACAAGCTTCGAGTCCATGTTGATCACCTGGGTCGTAAACCTAACTGCCCAATTCCACTTACTTAGGTCTGGCTGTTGGCTGGCCGCTGAGCCTGAACTGACTCAAAATTGACGCAAATGCACGGAGATGTCTGCATGCATCACAACATGTAGAAACCTTTCTACATCTTGTGATACCATGAGGAATCATGCTAAAAGGATGTCAAATCAAAGGTCTCCTGCTCCTTACCAAGTTCTTTCCTCTACTTATGACAGCTTATCACCATATCTCTAGCCAATGCTTTGGAATATAACCTGCTCAGAATTCCATTAACCCTAGAAGACATTTGCGCCAAGAACCTGGTGTCCTGCACTCGTTTTTGACCATTCAGATCACAACCATCGAGAGAATATATATGTTCAAATTGACTAAGTGTTTACATACCTCCGTCTAAGTGCATGTATCTTGATTGAAGTTTTCCCTGCTTGGAAAAATCTGTCAATGATAGGTTACTGGCAGTAAGAGATGTGTTGTTGTGATGATTGTGATCTTTGCCGTCGTCTCTTTCTATCCCACACCCTGAGCCTGAGGTGATGCTAAGGTTAAGATTCAACAGTTGGCCAGATTTTGAGTCATAAGCCTAACTGTCCGGTTGACGTCGCTCAGCCTCACTACATGCCACATAAACAGCCAGGACTCGAGCATCCTTTATATCTTCATAGCTATCAAAGGACAACTACTGTTGTAAGAGATTTGCTGGGATGGATTGAAGTGACTGTCTTTATAAAGAAAGGAAAGTGTTTTGCGCATATATCCTAACATATATTCAGTTCAGTCCACTCTCTCTTTGTGATATCTAGCTTGGCAACTAGAAACTGATGTTTTGGTTTAAGATACGTAGATCTTTTCATTTCATTTCACTAGTCCGTCAGTGAGTCCTAGTTAAACC